ATGATAAAATAAGTAAGCATATATACAATAAAAGTGAATACAAGTTACAAAACTATAAGGTATAATCAGAAGTAATTGCTTAACAAATAAAACTTTCCTAAGATTCAGTAGATATAATCCATATAAACATATCATTCAGTAACAGGAAAAAAAATAGAGATTGGAATCAAATAATGTTCCTGTATTGTCTTTTAGTTTAATATTAGGTAGCAGCACAGACACACAACATATGATTATATGATGGCATTTCAGGTGCTTGACATCTAATTTGCATTTACAATTGGTTGCAGCATGCTGCAGTCATGTGATTGCAATTTGTGACTTTTTTCCTGCTAGTTGCTGGAAAAATATACCCATTTTGGGAGAATGGATTATTCTTATTAATGACCATGTGATTCCCATAACGACCATGATAAGTCACGTTACAACTATCATAAAAACAGTCCAAAAACCAAGTCAGGTTATTTGGTGGCCTGCTTAAAGACCGCAACAACTCATGATAAAAATTCTGGGCCCAATTGTGGTCATTAAATGAGAACTAGTGGTAATAATTTCAGTCCACTATCTTGGTATAAGACAATAAAATAAAAAGTGTGGTAGTGACTCCCCTCCCTGGAGCCAGAAGACTAAAAATGTTCATTGAAAGGTGCATTATTATGCTCGCTCTTTAACACAGCTGTAGGGAGCACATTGAGAAATATTCATGGAAAAACTCTATGGAACTTTTGAATTTATTTTTTTTGGGGGAGGGACCCTTTGAGTCAATATTGTCTCTGGCAACTGCCTGGATATATCCCTGCAGTTTTCTTGGCAAGATTTTTGCCAGAATGGTTTGCCATTGTGTGCTTTCTAGAGGGTGAGAGAGAATGACTGGCTTAAAGTCATCCAGATGACTTTATATCTAAGGCAGGATTGGACAGGATTAGCCTACTGCCTTACCCTCTACACCGGGGGTCTTCAAACTTGGTCCTTTTATGACTTGTGGACTTCAACTCCCACAATTCCTCAGCCAGGCACGTTGGCTGAGGAATTCTGGGAGTTGAAGTCCACAAGTCATAAAAGGGCCATGTTTGAAGACCCCTGCTCTACACCAAACTGGCATTCTTGGAATTGAATATTTAGCTGATTCATAAATGTTACTATATAGTCCAGGAAAAAAAAACACTGGGAAGAAGTCTTGAGACTGTTTGCCAATCACAACATATTAATCTTTATTTAAAAGTAAAAATGTCCTCATCATACTTGAGATCTTTTTATAGGTTCAGTTTTCCAGTGCTATTATATATTGCCCCTGATTTATATGTTATATGATGTTAAACATGCTCAAAAACCATTGAAAACATTATTAAAAATCTAATTGTTATGGCATATGTATTTTAATAACATTTGTCCAACATCCCGGGCTGGAAATTACCAATTCCTCATCAGGATCGTGACTACTGTCATGAAGAAAAAACACTGAGAGTTGTTTGCTGTTTCCAGTGATTATATAGCACTATCCTCAGGAAGAGGAATAACAAGTGAGGGCTCCCAAAATTCCTTCTTATACTGAGTTGATTTATACGTATATAAATAACAATTTGTGCTGTAGTCTTCTGCGAAGGAATAACTCAAATCCAAAGAAGGCTCAGTTCTAGGACTAGCCCATTCTCTTCCTGTGAAAGATTTAAGGAGATCTGGAGTAAAATCAGATAATAGTAGAGTGAATGAATGCAGATATATGTATCCCGGGATACTGTTGCAGAATCCAATCTGAGTCAGTCACCTGGACCCGAAGTTTAGTCTTCCGAGCTTTCAGACTCGTGCTGGAGCCCATCCTGAGGGAACTTCTCTGTACCAGAATGTGTATAGAGTGGTGAAGTGACCCATTTGTTCATAATCTTTTAAGGGATACTCAGTTTTGAAGTAATCTATTTTTTTTCTTTAATGTCATCTTTTAAAAATTTTATTCCTATGCAACTCCTATATATAACTAGCAAAATGAGAACACATAATAGAACTGTATATTCTATTGTGTTATCTACTGGATTACATAATGGCAGCCTAAAGTTTTATTTCTGCCTAATTGCAAAGAGGCACTTGGAACAGCTGTTCTATTCCCCCCCACACATTTCTGGCAGCTAGAAGTTTTAATGGTTACTTGGAGCAGACAGTTTTGAAAGAGCTTGATTTCATTTTTGCATTATCAGTTGCTTAGCGACCATTGAGAGGAAGTGAGGTGCTTCGAATACTGGAATGAACTCTCTCTTCTTCACTTCCTGTCCCTGAAATAGTGCCCAATTGTATTTTGCCAAGCTCTTGGTGTAAATACTCAATATTCAATTTTTTATGTTATCTTGACAGTATCAAATAATGGCATAGCAAATCAGAAGGAAATGCTAAAAAGGGCTTTGGGGGGGCCCTCTTTTTTTTAAGGTTGATAAAAATCCAATGTTTGTTTATTTAATTTGTATAGCTGCCCATTGCACATTCATGCCTCTGAGTGGTTTACCAAATTAAAACAATAACCATCAAACATTAAAAACATTAAGACAGTTAAACAATCAAACACTGTACAGTACAGTCATAGGATAGCACAGTCAACTTAAGGGTCTTACCAGTGTGGGAAGGATTTAATAACCATGGAAAGAATTTTAATTCAAATTTACATTTATTCCTATACTGTCTCTGACCCTCCTTTCCATCATTAACATGACCCACAAATAACCGAAACTAGAAAAAAAGTCCTTTCACAATATTGAATTTCCCTGGGTACACACAGAGGTGGCACCAAAGCCCCCACATAGAAACACATCAAAGGGGAAAGATCTACGCAATCGGCAAAGAGCTGCACATCTATCAAATTAAACATTACAGAGATTACATTCACAAACTTACCTACACCCCATAAAAGAACTACCATTGCCATGTATGTGTCTGATCTCTGTCCATTTATAGGTATCTTCTGGAGCAGATTCTTCATCTCGAATAAAACTGCCTGCCTCCTTTTTAGTCAGCTGTCCAGTGTCCTTCTTCCGCAATCCTGCTTGGATTGAGAGCTCATATACTTCTAACACCAGCATTTTATGGGCTCTCTACCACTCTGATCCTCAGGCCTGATGGCTAAGCCAGGTCTTTAATAATAATAATAATAATAATAATAATAATAATAATAATAATAATAATAATAATAATAATAATAATAATATTGACAAATTCGCTATTAGTCAATTGCAAAAGGCGGCCTTACTAGGAACTGCTTCCATCCTGCGACGATATCTGTAATACCATCAAACATCCACATCTGCCTATCCCAGGTCCTGGGTAAGGACTCGATAGGTAGACAAAATGCCAAATCCAGTCTGAACATCTGGCTGACTGTGCGATGATCCATAATAGTAATAATAGTAATAGTAATAATAATAATGATGATGATGATGATGATGATGATGATGATGATGATGATGATGATTGGACTATTGCAACGCTCTCTACATGGGGCTCCCCTTGAGGTGCACCTGGAGGCTCCAGCTAGTTCAGAATGCAGCCGCGCGGGGGATCCTGGGGGCCTCTAGATACTCCCATGTAACCCCTCTCCTGCTCAAGCTGCACTGGCTGCCTGTGGCCTTCCGGGTGCGCTTCAAGGTGTTAGTAACAACCTTTAAAGCGCTCCGTGGCAATGGACCTAGGTATTTGCAAGACCGCCTCCTACCAAACACCTCCCTTCGACCAGTCCGCTCCCACAGAGAGGGCCTCCTTAGGGTGCCGTCGGCCAGACAATGCCGGCTGGCGACCCCCAGGNTTTTAGTGGGGGTTTTGTATGGGGTATTTTTAGAGCAGGCCTGTTATTTAATTTGATTTTAGAACAGAAATTTGTGTATATTTATCGTGGTTTTTATTATCGCCTGTTCACCGCCCTGAGTCCCGTAAGGGAGATAGGGCGGTATATAAATTCAATAAATAATAATAATAATAATAATAATAATAATAATAATAATAATGATAATGATGATGATGATGATGATGATGATGATGATGATGATGATGATGATGATGATAAAGTTGGAAGGGACCTCGGAGGTCATCTAGTCCAACCTCCTGCTCAGGCTTTCCATTGAGAATCTATGTTAAAGTTGTTAAGCAGATGTTGTGCAAATGATAGCTGGGGCTTTCTAGCTTTGAGATTAACATTGTCACTGTTGTATGCTTCTTTGTAAGTTTGGTCGTCCAGCACAGAAAACCTTCAGTCAGTGTTCTTGTGATCTCTAATAAATTTCCACAACAAAATCACCTTTGTTTCTTTCTTTCATTTACCTTTAGTCCTGTTAACCAAAAGCTCTCGACGGCATTTCTATGTTCCAATTTGAGAATTTCTTTAGTTATCAAGCCATAATCTTTGTACAAAAAGATACCGTTTGAGTGTTTGAATTGCTTTTTAACATCCCAAAGGGCTTTATTTGTAATAACTTTTCAAATATTCTGAAAAGCATCCACATTACTTGTATTGTTTAAGCTATTAATGTCTGTATAGAAGTTAACCTTTGATTTAGAGTTAGAAAAAATGTTACTTTATTTCTCTGAGTCTATAAAAACTTTAGCAGAAAGGAGAAACATTAAAAATACAAGACAATGCTAGATATTTTTCCCAATGTAAAGTGTTAAAAACTGTTAAAATGGATATCAGAGCTTTTAAAATGTAGTTTGGGGATCAGTACTTCACAAGCACTTCTACTTTATAATGTTTATTATAATTGAAGATTAACAAATATTTCAGTTCAAAATTGCCCAAGATAATTTAGAAATAATTTGCTTTATTATCTCAAAAAGTGACTAGTTGACAAAACTTTCCTTCCTTTAGGCTCACACACCATGGCTTAGTTTTCCTACTGTTTCATTCCGAGAACTTTTGATTTCCTGTGTCTTGTTTTAAATTGTTTCCTTAAACATAAAATGCACAGATCAATAGTAATAGCATATATTAATAATCGCTGCAATAATCTTTTTCTTATGCCTCTGTACAGACTGCCTTTTTAAATTATGCCCCATGAATCGCTATTCTGCACAGAAGCAGTTCTGGAAAGCTGCTAAACCAGGAGCTAATAGCACAACTGATGCGGTTTTGCTCAACAAACTACATGTGAGTATGTGTCCTGGAGTGACAATCTTCAAGCTGGTCTCAATCTAATTTCAGAGCTACCAATGTGGCATTAATTGTTTGAAAAGAATATAGCACTGAATTTCAACTAAAGATTTGAAAAGGGAACTATTAACCTAGGTCAGGGGTAGGCAACCTTGGCTCGAAGTCCACAAGTCATAAAAGAGCCAAGGTTGCCTACCCCTGACCTAGGGTAATAAAGATAGATTTAAATATGTGTCTGTTATATACTGCTCACAAAAATAAAGGGAACGCAAACCCCTTCAGTTCCATGGTAAAATGTTCCCTTTATTTTTGTGAGCAGTATATTTTGAAAGGTGGACTTTATATTTGAGGCCAGATATTTATATATTCTTATATTTTTGCAGCATGTAGATTCACATGACATGCTGAACCTTCCCTTTCCTTTCCTTCCCTCCCCCTCTATCCCATCCCACCCCACCCTGACTCAAACAGCATGACTCTGGGAGATCATACAGCTCAAAATATCAAACAAACAATAAATAAATAAATAAAACTTGCCATCTCCCATTTAATTACAAAATATAAATATTATAAATATTAAATGGCAAACAAGCAATAAACCCAATAACCAAAATGGAACTTTTACTTAACTGGCTCCTAATGTCCAGGGAAAGAGGCTGGTCTCACATGGTTTTCCTATATTGTGTGTTATATATTGGGGAGGGGGAAGGGTCAATCCAGAGAGCAAAGCCAATCACAATCAAGTCCCATGCAATGACAAGATTTAAAAGAAAGAATCGGGAGTGTGCCCTCTCTATAGGATCACTGTGGATTGGGGAGAAGTTCTTAGAAGAAGACAGTTCCTCAAGTCTTATGAAATGTAGACTTTAAAATTGATAACCAGCATTTTGAATTGCATCTGAAAACCCACTGGAAGCTAGTGCACTCCACAGAATAGGGTGTTGCATTCAGAACCAACAGAAGCTTCTGGATAGTCTTCATGGGCAGCTCCATGTAGAACCTGTTGCACTAATTCAATCAGAAGTGACTAAGTCACTTAAGGCATGAGTGACCATGAACAGGTTCTCCTGGTCCAGAAATGGATACAACTGGTGCACAAGATGCACTTGTGCAAAGCTGCTTTCCCTGGCCAAAGTTTTCACCTGATTTTTGAACAGGAGTTGTGAATGCAGGGGGGAAAAAACCAAATTGCACCCAAGTCTCAATAGGATAGAGCCACTCCATTCCAAAGCAAAGAGCAAATCCCAGATGTGAATGTCTCCAAATCCTTAGCCGCTTACTCTTGGCAGGGTTGAATCACAACTTATTCCTCTTTGTCCAGTCCTTCACTGGAAAAGAAGTTGACCACTGAATGGTTGAGGTCAAAGATGTAGAACTGGATATCATCCACATATTGAGGATATCATACCCCACAACGACCAGTGGCTTCATGTAAATATTTTAAAAAGGGAGGGAGGCAGAGCCCTGAGACAAAGCAAGAGCCTTGGGCTTGACTACTTCCCTTGCACTTCCAAGGCCAGACTGGAACTGGCCTTGGAAGGAGAACCACACAAAAGAGTGCCTTCCACTCCCACCCACCCCCTTTGCCTAATTTAGTGTGCAAACCCAGAAAATGTGAAAAAATGAATAAACCATCATTGTGACTGGCTTATTTATTGAGTCTTATTAACCCAGCTAGTGTTCACTTTATCTGAAAAACAGAAAGCAAAACAAATATTTACGTTTGTACAAAATGAAAGTAGAAACAAACACGTATTTTTAATCAATGAATTATTTAAAATTGCACTGTTCCACAGGGAACAATTTTTTATTGTTTCCTTTGTATTCTTTTTTATTGTTTTCAATATGTTGTGAGCCACCCAGAGTTGCATCTGCAACATTTATTAATCGATGGGATAAATGAATTACCAGTAAATATCCCTTTTCTATATGTCTGGTCCTTCTGAGGAAGGAAACAACCAAACTGAATCTAAAGAACCAGCATTACAGTGTGAGAAACTGGAAATGTGTAACTTCTACTGAGGGAAAATAATTACAAATGATTTGATCCTTTATGTCAGGTCAGTTCCTGGTATTAAAAATGCCTTTGGTTAACCTTGTAAACATTTCATGTGGTTACAGGAGATTAAGAACCTGTTCTTTATAAAATTATTGCCCGGCAGTGCACACAGTCTCAGATGAATTGAAACCGAAGGATGTTTCAAAAATAGCTTGATGGGATCTAGGCTGGGTAAGAATACAAAACAGGCAAGCAAGCCCAAACAAGCATTTGGCTCTTAGCCATATTTAGCAGCACTAAGAAAAGGCGTCCTTGTGTGTGTGTATGTGTTTGTAAGATTATTTAAAATGCTACCCGGTTCTTGGCTGCAGCAGGCTAACCGAGTCTCTTTTGAACAGAGGAATGCAATAGAGAAAGCTTAGATAATACAGCCGTTGGTTTTTCATGAGTAATTTCTCCCAGTGTAAGGAGTACACAACATCTGGATGCAGAGTGTTCATTGAGGATCAAGGCTGTTTCCTGTCTTGGTACTTTTTCTTCCATGTGGTTTGAAGTAATCTGTAAAAAAATGTTCAACATGCATTTTTAGTCACGTGCATTTTTGGCTTGTGTATCTAATGGTGGAATTCAGGATCTTCTGCTGTAGATCAAGCTGTGCTAAGGGTCAGGTTATTTTAAACTAATACCATTTAAGGGATTTAGGAATCTGGGACGAGTTTTAACTGGAATACAAAATCATTTCTTCTTTTAACAAAGTGACACCTAGTGGCTGCTACATAGAACGATTTCTTTGCTCGTTCAAAAAAAAAAAGGTACCAAAAATGGCATCTTTGTTAAAATAACGGAAATCATGCTACAACGTCATCATCAATAACAGCAATGTAAAACATGCACACTTTTTATTTAAAAATAAAATCTCAAGAGGTAGACACACTACTTCAGGGTCTTCTAAAAATCAAGATAACAAGGAAACTAGAGAAAATAATTCGCATGTTGGTTGTATCAGGTTCCAGTGCCAAACGCACTGAAAAAAGTGACTTATGACCCTTTTTCACACTTATGACTGTTGTAGCATCCCCATGGTCAAGTGATCAATATTTGGATGATTGGCCACTGGCTCATATGTATGACGGTTGCCATGTCCCGGGGCCATGTGATCAACTTTTGTGACCTTTTGTGACCAGCAAAGTCAGTGGGGAAGCCGGGATTCCCTTTACAACCATGTTACTAATTTAACAGCTGCAATGATTCACTTAACAACTATGGCAAAATTTAAAGTTTAAAATGGTTATTAAGTTATTAACTCACTTAATAACTGTCTTGCTTGGCAATGGAAATTTTAGGGGTCATAAGTCAAGGACTACCTTTTTAGACCTGTATTTCTTAAACTTTTTGCTCTAAGGATCCTTTCCTACTTTTAAAAATTATGGAAGAACCTCAAAAGAACTTTTGTTGTGTATAGCAATAGCGCCTGAAGGCAGGACAAGAAGCAACGGATGGAAACTAATCAAGGAGAGAAGCAACCTAGAACTAAGGAGAAACTTCCTGACAGTTAGAACAATTAACCAATTAGCCATTTGTCCGAAATGGTGTAGGGTTTCCTGCCTCAGCAGGGAGTTGGACTAGATGACCTCCAAGGTCACTTCCAACTTTATTGTTGTTGTTGTTGTTGTTGTTGTTGTTATTATTATTATTATTATTATTATTATTATTATTATTATTATTATTTAGACTGAGACAGGTAGTCCTCAGCTTACGACCACAATTGAGCCCGACATTTATGTTGCTAAGTGAGAAATGTGTTGAGTTGGTCTCATTTTACGATTTGTCTTGCCACATTTGTTAAGTGAATCACTGCAGGTGTTAAGTTAGTAACATAGTTGTTAAGTGAATCTGGTTTCCCCATTCGCTTGTCAAAACCTTGAGGCTAATATGAGCCAGTTATCAAGCATCTCAATGTAAATCACGTGGCTGTGGGAATGCTGCAATGGTCGTAATTGTGACAAATGGTCGTAAGTCACTTTTTTCAGTCCTGTTGTAACTTCGAACAGTCACTAAATGAACTGTTTTAAGTCGAGGACTACTTTTATATCGCCCCTTAGTGCTTTACAGCATTCTCTGGGCAATTTAAAATATCAGCATATTGCTCCCCAACAATTTGGATCCTCATTTTACCAATCTCAGAAGGATGGAAGGCTGAGTCAACCTTGAACCCTGTCAGGATCGAACTCTAGGCTGTAGAAGTAAATGCCATTTTTCCTCTCCATCCTTTCTTTCCATTTGTATGGTGGCATTTAAAATATTCTTCCAAGTCTGCATTGAATGTACATTATTTTCAGCAGCAGCTTGTGGTCAGGTTGTAGAACTGTACTTGAAATGCAATTTTTGTCTTACTGTTAGTATCTAGCAGAAGAAAGATACCTTATTTCTAAAAATAGGGCTTTAATTTACTATAAAAATTAGCTGTACATATTCTTGGGATTTTATCTTTGTTTTCCTTCTGTGGTTCATTTTTGTTCTTGAAATTAATTTAGATGTAATAACTTATTATTAAGTTCTTGTTTAATGTTGTACACCAGCCAACTTCAGGATTGGGCAGATTAGAAATATAATACACAAATAATTATTTTGGATTTGTACTCTGTCCAAAACTTCAAATTCTGTCTGTGTTCATTGGAAGGAGTTCTAAAATGGGTTGAAATATTTTGGATTAATCCACATGCTTATATAGGCTATTTTATTTCTAATGTCATCTTTTTAGTTGTATATGAGTAAATATGTAATAATGGTTCTGTCCTTATAGACATATATAGCCTGTTTTTTAAACCTCAGAACGAAACTGAGGTTTAGAAAGAAATTTCACTTCTGTTTCTGATATGAACCTGAATGTTAACCCAAATTTATCATCTCATGTCTGATTTTTAGTACATGTGTCTTTTTTTCCTTTTATGTTTTTCTATCACTTTCCCCTGCTTTCTACTTCCCTTTACTTCATCTTTACTCTTCATCTTTACATTTATTAAAATCAAAAAACCAATAAAAGGGACCAGCATTTCCAGCTTGGGTTAGAAAGCAACCAATGGCTGAAAGCAGGCATTTGAAAATAGGAATTTCAAAAACTGGGAATGGACGTGGAATTACGACGGAACAGTTTAATTTTACCCAGCAACTGAAGCCTTGATACTTGTGAGCAGAATTGGATCCGTGGGAGTTTAATCCTACTCTGAGGGGATTAATTACATTTAGAAGGTTTTAATTAGTCATGAGTTACAAGCATGAGTTCAGTGGGTGAACTCTTAAGTTTTGATGAATTCAATTATGCAGTGATTTTTTGGGGGGCGGGGATGGGAATTGCAGTATTGTTTGTGACATCTTTCATTTTAAAAAGCAACTGATTGCAGGTTTTCCCATCCTTGCTCACCAGCGAATCCTTTGTTTCTTTATTAAACTTAGCATGCTGCAGATTTGGAAAAAAAGCAGAATGAAACAGAAAATAGGAAGCTGCTTGGCACGGTTATCCAATATGGTAATGTTATTCAGGTAAGCAAGTCTTGTGTAGTACAGGTAATGTAAATTATTTTTAAACTAGCCTAGAGAAAAATGCAAAATGATATTTCTGAAGACATCCGGATTTAAAAATGCCTGTGGAAAACAAGAAAAAATAAATTAGTGTTGCTATCCTTATTTGATCAGAGACTATATCCTAGTTAGCAGTTTGGTCAGGATGAGAAACCTTTGGCTCTCTAGATGTTGCTGATATCCAACAAGCAGCCACTGCTTGTGTGACCAAAGGTGAGGGATCTCATTCATTAACTTTTGGGATGTTACAGGTTTCTCCCCACCGTAAGTTAACTCTTCAGACTATGTCATCCTTAAACCACCTATTTCTGTCCTCTTAGAAGCATTAAGATTCTGGGAGAGAGAGAGAGAGAGATCCTGTGATGATAGGAAACACCCACTCCTACCTGCTGCCTTCCTTTGCCCCAGAGTAAGTTACTGGGTGTTGGCAATGAAGAAACAGAATTGTAACACACACAGAATTAGGGCTTTGGGGAGTGATCTGTTTGAACACCTGCAGGACAGCTAGGGGGATATGCCAGCTCATCCAGACTCTTGCTCTGTTTCATCAAATAAACTGGCTACTAAATATTCAGGCTCCAGTGTCAGAATGTAGATTTGATTCTGCAAGTGGCTAAAATGACATTGTGAGAGGGGGAGGGAGCTCCCAATTTTCTTATGTTTTTTCTTTGCTAAAATTAATGTTTGGTAGAAGCTTTTTGAGATTATGGTTTTTCAAGTTCTAGGACAGTGGTTCTCAACCTGTGGGTCGGGACCCCATTTGGGGTCGATCGCCCATTTCATGGGGGTTGCCAAGCAAGGCTGTCCACCATTTTTTTTGTCTGCCATTTCTTTCCCCTTTTCCAGCAGGTGCCTTACCTCCCTTGGGCTGGGCCAGCTGGTGGTCGGCCTGCTCCATCTCTGCCGCTTGCCAGCTACGCCTTGGCCGGCGCAGGGGGCGGAACCACGCATGCACGGCGCTCCTGGGCAGGGAAAGTCCTCGACTTACGACCGGTTGGGTAGTCCTCGACTTACGACCGGTTTAGTCCTCAACTTACGACCGGTTTAGTCCTCGACGTACGACCAGTTTAGTCCTCGACTTACGACCGGTTGGGGTCGCGGCATTAAAAAGGTTGAGAACCACTGTTCTAGGAGTTCTGGCTTTATTGATACAGGAAGACTGACTGGTGCTGGAAAGTTGAATTATTTCCCAGTGTCAACATTATATAATAATAATAATAATAATAATAATAATAATAATAATAATAATAATAATAATAATAATAATAATAATAATAATAATAATAATAATAATAATAATGATGATGATGATGATGATGATAAGTAGTAGTAGTAGTAGTAGCAGTAGTAGTAGTAGTAGTAGTAGTAGTAGTAGTAGTAGTAGTAGTAGTAGTAGTAGTAGTAGTTGGAGGTCATCTAATCCAACCCCCTGCTCAGGCAGGAAACCCTATATCATTTCAGACAAATGGCTATCCAATCGCTTCTTAAAAACCTCCAGTGTTGGAGAATTTACTGCTTCTGAGGCAGGTTGTTCATCTTCATCTTCATCATACTTCCATTATCCAAATATTAATTTAATACTGAAACATTCTTGGAGAACTGGCTTCAGTAACATAAAACAAATCCAATTTAAAGTTCTTACTATGTCATGAAAATTGTTGGCAAATTGTTGGAGTGGAAGGTTTTAGAAAGAAAAAAAAGCTGATAAACATATTAAACATCTGCTTGCCAAGTGCCATTTACCAACTATTCTGTATGGCTGATGTAACTATACAAGTCTTCAATAAACTTCTTCCTAAAGTGTGAAATATCGCTGGAACTGTAGAAAATTGTGGGTAGAATGCTCAACTGCTGCATATCATTCTGCATTATAATATGAACAGTACAGGAGTTTTAAAAGCATCAGTGAATTACATTTCCACTTCGAACAATAATCAGCTGCTAAGCTATAGTTTGGGTAACCATTGCTGCATATGCCATAATGCAATGATTTCTCACATTACCCCATTACTTATGACTCCTAACCGCTATGTACATTGTACTAAGCCAAAAGCAAACCAAATGATGATGTATACAAAATGTCAACCTTCTGAATAATTGTTGCAGCAGGCAGAACTATTTTAATTTGTTTAATTTGCTTTTCTTTCCTTCCAGCTTCTTCATTTAAAAAGCAACAAATATTTAACAGTAAATAAGAGACTTCCAGCTCTGCTAGAGAAGAATGCTATGAGAGTAACCCTAGATGAGGCTGGCAATGAAGGTTCCTGGTTTTATATACAACCCTTTTACAAACTGCGTTCTATAGGAGATAGTGTAAGTTTGCAGAACTGCCAGGGAAAATGGTTTGTAATATGAAATGTTAAGCGTTTTCTTCATCACTTACTTTCTTGTACTTAATTAAATGCATTGTTTATATAATGCAGTGGTGCTTCTCTGTTCCGTCCTATGAAAACAATTGTGCATGAGAGAAAGAAAATTACTACAGAAACAAATGTTTTGAAAACAAACATTTTTAAAGAGCAGGACAGTAACTGTTTAGATTTGGAAAGACTATGAAAATGATGTCATTCTATTCACTTAAGAATTCCTGTGCTGGATATTGTAGTTTATATCAATCCATCAATAATAATTTACTTATTGCAGGGGTGTCAAACTCAATTTCACTGAGGGCCACATCATCATTGTGGTTGCCCTGCGGGGGCTGGGGGTGTGTGGCCAGAGTGGGTGCAGCCTACTGGGTGGGCGTGGATGGAGTGGGTATGGCCTACTGGGTGGGCGTGGCCAGTTCTACATCATTCGCGTCAAGAGTGCCTATGGGGGCCTGGGCAGGAGTGGGACAGATCTGAGGGTCTCTGGAAGAAGGGGGTGGGACTGGGGCAAGCGCCAAGGCATGGTCCACCGGGGCAAGTGCCAAGATGGCCACCACAAAATTGTACATTGGGTCCCGGCTGGCCTGGGCCAGGGCCAAAACAGCGGGGGCCATTCCCTCACTGTTTCCACGATGGCTTCGTGAGCCACATAAAACCACTTCGCGGGCCGCATCCGGCCCCCGGGCCTTGTGTTTGACATGTCTGACTTATTGCAATAAATATTAGCCTCAAGGCTTCATAGAACTCTTTCTGCTCTTTCTGTTCATGGCTGTCCAATGCACCACAAGCAATATTGATTTGTTATTTAATGCATTTAATTACTTGCTTTATTAAATTCATTTAATTTATTTTAAGTCAGTTATTTGTGCCATGCTTCAGCAACTCGTTCAATTCATGTCTACCAAAAATTGTTATTGTGGTATATCAGAATAAAAATAGTACACTCAACTTTGCCAATCCCTGAAAGAATTAGCAAGACTAAAGCTAGAGAGGGAATTCCCTAAAATCTCTGTGTGTCACCATCCTCAAAGTATTCTCTCCAGTCAGCAGCTTCCTAATCTTAGATGGTACTTGAGGACAATTTCTAAAGATGATCTTGTTATATGAACAAAAGCACATGGAGGATGTTCTGAAGGGCATGGCTTAAATAATATTATTTTTACTTAAAATGTTACTTTATTTTCTTAATACATTTGATGCCCTAAACCTAATGATGTTCATTTCCAAATAAATTTGCAGCCATTTCCAGTGGTCATAGCTTTATACAACATTGCCTTTGTAATGGTAGATAAAAATGAAATGGAAACCTTGTTTTTCAGGTGGTCATCGGGGACAAGGTAGTCTTAAACCCTGTTAATGCTGGCCAGCCTCTGCATGCCAGTAGCCATCAACTAGTGGATAATCCGGGCTGCAATGAGGTAGGTTAAGAGCTCATGAGAGTTAGAAATAATTGATGCGCCATTTAGTTTTCCACATAATTGTAAAGAGGGACAATTAATTGCAGATCATGGTGTGTCTTTGTATACTTGTTTTATCTGTGGCATTCTGTTTTTATAGGTAAATTCCGTGAATTGCAATACAAGCTGGAAAATAGTTCTTTTTATGAAATGGAGTGACAATAAGGACGATATTCTAAAAGGAGTAAGTTGAAAAATGTATCTCATCACTAGGCTTTTCACAAAAATACGACCCCGACATTTCTGTTGATTGATCTTTCATTGTCCTTACAGGGGGATGTGGTACGGTTGTTCCATGCAGAGCAGGAAAAATTTCTTACTTGTGATGAACATCGAAAGAAGCAACATGTTTTTCTGAGAACTACTGGGAGGCAGTCAGCCACATCTGCAACTAGCTCAAAAGCTCTGTGGGAAGTTGAGGTAAAGATGGGATTAAAAATAGCTAATGTGGCTTTGTAATGAATATTCCTACACTGAGGATTTCAAACCTTGATGAAAAGCTGAAAGCTGTGCTGAAACACAGATTGTATCATATTTCTAACATGGCAGGATTGTTTCATATAGAATACATAACCAAATAGGTTTTGCTCCAGGATGGATTAGGATGCTTCCAATGAATAAAAGATCATCCAGATTTGAGTTTTGATTGTTTTCTTGGTGCTCTTTATTCTGCAGCTGGATGTTCACACAGTGTGTTGTTGTTGAGCAATGGAAAATAAAACATTGATGTCTTCCAAAGCAAATAATAGTGCTTCCTATTAATAGAACTGGTTTTGCTTGAAATTATTTTAATTGCAATAAAACAAAATAGCATGTTTGTTTTCATACAATTATCTGATTTAAGATTCCACAAAGAAGACCACAACAATTAATCTTCTATGAATGCAGCCATGACAATTTCAGCTAGTATCGCTATACTGTATGTTACAAAGAAATTCACCCTTTTATTATTTATACACTTTCTTCAAGAGGTCCTTGAAGAAGTCCACCAGAAATGGCATTTATTGCAAGAGAGAGCAACATTTTAGGGCCATACAAATATTCATGGGAAATGGAAAGGGCTGTAACAATGGGACATTGTTACAAAGGAAGAGGCCATTTTACACAAATAGATCTAGTTTTTAGGACACTGTATATCTGTGGCTTTTATTTGTTTGGTAGGAAACGTTGCTATCAGTTTCAGACAATTTGAATCCCAGGGGTTGCAAAAGAAAAGTTATTCATGGCCTGTTTGTGGTCTTGGGATCATAGATTACCTACCTCTAGTTTATTGCTTTGTAATGTATGGAACATAGTTCTCAAATAACTTCTGGAATAGAATTCTTCCTATTCCATTTGATAGCAACTCTTATCTAATATTAGCAGAGTCTGTTCCTTCTTTAAAATCAACCACACAGTAGTTAACAGCCATCCTATGTATATCTACTGAAAAATCTCAAAGCCAACAGTCTTACTTCCAGATAACAATGTATGGAATTGCAGCTATAGTCACCAGCTATTCCAAGCATATATTTGGAAAAAGCTATATAGTAGTGCACAGAATGGAACTCCCCTTTGTGTTTAACAATCTAGTATAAGAGGTGAACTTTGACAAGACAAATGCTTTTAATAAAATTAACTTGCATATATTTTAATTTTGTTTTTTCTCTTTCAAGGGATATATTCTTTATTAAGACATATTTTGAGTAATCAATATTATCTTAGTCTTTTTCCATAAAATGATTGTATTGTTATAATAAATATATTGGAAATTAAAAGATCATGTAAAGATAATTTCCCCATGCTAATATAGAAGTTAGAGCTATTTAGAACACAAGTGGAAGCACAAACTGATTTCAAAACTAATGGAGGCATGTGCATAGTCATCTAATGAATATTTAACTTGATGTCTAGCATTAGTGACATCAAAAGATCTCATACATCATGATGTAATCATGCAGATTACATGCATTACAAATTTACATTATTTGCACAATGAATGTAATGTAATTTACCTCCTGTGGATGTCCATGGACACATCTGTGTGAAGGAATTCTGTTGGTCTCATATATCAATATTTATCGATACCAACATATGTAAACAGATATTCTCCTTGTAGGAACTCTGCACTGATAGAGTCTTTGCACAGACATACGGTAGACTATAAAGCTGATCATTTCCCCCTATGTCCATAAATATTATGAGTGCTCATATGAATATATATGTTATATCTCTGGGGTCATTCAGTAAACATTTCTTTTAAACAGATTGAAAAACTCACCCAACAAATACAACCAAATTTGTGCTTGTAAATGTTTCAATCTTTATCAAGAGTTAAAAAAAAAGTAAACTCCAAAGTGATTAAAACTGGTTTAATCAAATCCATAAAAGGCCACATTAACAGTTCTCAGTTCGGTGGAATCCCATAACACCTAGCTGTTTGCAAGAGACTTCAAAAATGTCAGATTTTGCCATCTACTCACATGCACAAATCCCCACTGCTGTCCAGTGTATATATGGATAATCTCAAGATCTTTCCTTGGTCTAGAGAAAATTTTTAGCAGTCTGGATCCAGCATCAGTTATCTGTAATATCTCCCACTGTCCATGGGACACCAATTTGCCACTCCTTATTGAAAGCAATTGTGCACAACTATTGAATATTTTTGATTTAGAAAATATACTTTCTCAGCACATTTTTCATCTAATTTTTTCATAGAGAAATACAACGTTATAAATAAGTTGAAGTAACCAGTCATTTTTTGGATGAGTCTTATTATTCCCCTTTGTTTTCTAGCTAATGTTTTGTAGCTAACTTAAATAACATCTTGTTTTGTCATTCCCATTTCATTTTTTTTCTAAATTATTATTTTAGCCATTTTGTTGACAACCCTATCTGCTTAAGGAGAAATGACAAATACTATTCAGAAAGGCAGTTCTCAAGAATTCTCAGAAAGTATTATTGTTACTTTATAGGTAGTACAACATGATCCTTGCCGTGGTGGTGCAGGCTATTGGAATAGCCTTTTTCGGTTTAAACATCTTGCTACCGGACATTATTTAGCAGCCGAGGTATGTATCACAGGAAAACCTCTTACGAAACTTTTTCTCTAACAACCTGATTTCTTATGTTCAAGTTACAGATACATTTACCAGGTAACCATCAAGAGTTGCAAACAATTAGAAAGCTGATGTGTTATTTGGTAAAATCAAATACCAGTCAATACCACGGGCATTTATTTGGAAGAAATTGTGAAAATGTGCTAAAATCTACGCCAATTACTTTTTGTTACTACTGCTTGGATACACCTTCTATTAATAGAAACCAGTATTGAAAAAAATGGTCACATCTTTCCACAAAATGAATGAATTGAGATATTTACATAGCCCATATAATTTTGCTGATAACTTGTTTTTGAAATCTTACATGTCTCATAGATTTTTCCTTTCAATCTTTTTGGGTGTTTGCTTTGATTTACGTAGCATGGAGCTTCCTAATTTTGTAATATTCATACAACAAATATATTTCACTACAGTACTTAGATTTTTGAGAAAGGGGAGTCCAGTTGGCTTTTTTTTTCTTTTTATCTGCTTTTGATTCTCTTCTGTCAGATAAATCCTAACTATATGAAAGCTAACCAGGGATGTCAGTCTTCAGTAAGTATAGGGAAGAGAACCCTCAATCAAAAAGTGTTCACCAATGTTCAAATTACTGGGATAACAGGAAGGGAAGCTGTTAATGGAATCTACGTGCTCCATCTCCTGTCTCTGAACTTTGGTCTAATTATGGCCTTTGTGTGCCCTTTCAGTTTCTAATGTAATGATGTAACAGGGGCAAGTCCCTACTGACTGTCCAGCAATTTGAACACTGCTCCTGGTATGATCTTTACTGGGAAGCAGGAGGACAAATGAAGGCTGCAAATGATATAGAGGAAAGATTCTTCATAGTGTTAACTATGTGATTAATGGATATTGAAAACTAGGCTATAATAATTTTAGACACTTAGGCAAGCAAATTTTTGTTTATTCTGGTCACTTTAAATTATATCAACTTCTGAGCAATCTTTTATCTTTTTTTAACTAGAAGGATTATCCATTTGGCATAAGCACTTGAAAAACAAATACTATACAAATTTGTACTGTGTAGTGTGTACTGTATATGAAAGAGCTACTGTATTTCAGATAATAATGTCCAGTTGGAACATTGGGATGTTGAGAAGAAAGACGGTATTGCAACTTTAATTCAGGAGGGTCATCTGGAATTTTACAGAAGCTATTTCTGGTTTCTCTTTGTTTATACACAACAAATCTCAGATTCTTTGCTATCAGGCTTACAGAAAATGTTAGTGGAAAGTAAGAAAAGCAAAGAAGAGATTGTTGGTTTTATTTGTGTTTTTTTTCCTTCACTCTACAATCCCATGAAAACTGCCCCAGAGAGGAAGAGTATTGCATTAGAGCACCATAAGGAGGGTGGGAATTGGTGAATATTTCTTTTCCCCTCATTCCACCAGCAGAATGGGGCTTTG